TTGTCAATTGTCAAATTATGCCTCAATTGTCTGTATGTATGTCTTTCTGAAATAATCCAAAGTTCATAAAACTATATTTTTATAAGAAGAAAAAATACTTTTTGGTTAGTTTCATCTCAGCTTTCTTCATCATCATACAGTAGGCCTATAGTGGCCAAAGAAATAACTTATATTAAATATATGGTGTTCCTTATAGCTTAATTTACTTCTCCAGGTATATCTATATTGGAACAAAATAGAGAGCTTCGATTTGACAGACTCTAAAAAAATTAGGACTAGATTACTGAAATGTGTCCTATATGGACCTACTTTATAGGGTGATATTGAAGCTGTAGCTATTAGAAACAGTACATGACAGTCTGTAATGTAGGTCAAGTAATTTGGATTATGTGATATCCTTTGTTAAAGTGTGTGTGTGAGAGAGAGCCAATATGCCAAACTGAACATGTGGATTCTTCTGAGTCTACTCTAAGAGAGAGTATATCCCCAGTATTAGCTAACAAATATTTTAAGTTTATGGTCTTTACAGTGGGAATGAATAGGCCACGGTATGAGTTGAAATAGCAATAGCTGTTAGACTTATATACCACTTCACAGTGCTTTACAACCCTCTCTAAGTGGTTTTACAGAGTCAGCATATTGCCTCCAACAATCTGGGTCCTCATTTTATCAACCTTGAATGGATGGAAGGCTGAGTCAAGCTTGAGCCGGTGGCATTAGCCAGCAATACTACATTCTAATCACTGCAGCATCTCGGTTTGTCTGTGTGAGAACCTCAAGTTTAAAATTTCAACCCTTCAACAATCCCAGTGTTTTCCTGTCCCACTCAGACACAACAAACCAGGAACACATGCTGAATCCAAAGCACTAAAGAGTTTATTATTGTTACCTATACACAAGAATCTGGTCAACTAAGGGTCAAAGCTAAATTCACACTAGATAAGGTTTAACAGAATTCATGGGGTGAGCTGGACTTGAGTCTGCACAATGATTCCAAACTTATGAGACATTTATCCCCACCTTCCAGCTTAGCCTCCTTATCTCCTACACTCCAGCCCCTCACCAAGTTGAAAATTTTGTTCATATTCTCTCAATAAACAGACTTGTTTTCCATTACGTATTCTAAATGAATTTGACTGAGCCATAAATACTGACTTGATATTATCCTTAACCCTTATTATTTTGTGTATTAGTACTTTTACCCCCCAAAAAATCACATTTATGATTTTCCTGTATTTATCTTATGATTGATCATTTTGTAGATTCTGAAATATTTATATCAAATATTAATATGCTAGCCTTGAGAAGTTTTTATATAAAAGATGATATACAAATATTATTTGACTGATTATTGGATGATCCAGGTTTTCTCAGTAATGATGTAGTTACAGATGTTGCATGTATCAATGAGCATTGGATATCAAGATACAAGGAAAGCAGTAAATCTGCTAAACTCAGATGTTGATTAGGGAAAAGCTTTTCATCGGCATTCAATTCACAGATTTTCTTGGCATTCAAAGGATGCCAAATAGGTATCTCTTAAGTACATAATCTGTGAAGCAGTTAACCAAGCCAGAAGCTGAAGTAATCAGCAACTTTTTCAGATGCTCAGTACCAATAAATAAAATAAAAATGTCAACATCTTGCCAGGTTGGCCAAATGTTCTGAGATTTTCACAGAGTAATAAATTGGAAGGCTAAGAAGGTAAGTTGGAGGTCATCTACCAAGTCTACTTTCTGTCCAGTGCAGGAATTTACTGTTACATGTAGTCCTCGATGTATGACTACATTTGGGAGCAGAATTTTCATTGCTAAGCAATGTGGTTGCTAAGTGCATTGCACCTGATTTTAATGAGCTTTTTGCAATGATTGTTGAGCAAATCTCTGCAGTTATTAGGTGAATCACATGGTCATTAAGCGAATGTGACTTCCCCCCATTGACTTTACTTGTTGGAAGCCAGCTGGGAAGGTTGCAAATGACAATCATATGACCCTGGGACATTGCAACTGTTGTTAATACATTCTGGTTGCCAAACTCTCAAATTTTGATCCAATGAATGCGAGGATGCTTCGACAGTCATCAGTGCAAGAAAAAAAGGTTTTTTTTTTCAGTGCTGTAGTAACTTTGAATGGTTGCTAAATGTATACTTATAAGTTGAAGATTATCTGTAGAGCATCCTACACAGATCTTAGGTTAGACTGGATGGTTATCTGCCATAAAGGTGAGCCATTATCTCTGTTCAACAGTTTTTAACAATGCCATATTTCACATAGGAAGTTATATATGAGTGGCGAGGATGGCAGAAGGGATTATTGGTAATTCACTTCTTTCTATCCATGACGTAGCATTTAAGAGATGCTTGACCAGGGTCTGCAGTATTGTCTCGGACACTACACATCCTCTCCATGACTGGTTTTCTTTGTTACCTTTAGGGAGGAGACTTCGCCATATCCGAAGCAGAACAACCAGATTCTGTAATAGCTTTATACCATATAGTATCAAGCCTGTTAACTCTCGAGACTTTTTTCCACCATGTATTCAAAATGGACTATGAAAAATGAAATTCTGATGCCTGCTTTCAAAAGAATATATATATATATATATATATATATATATTCTTTTGAAAGCAGGCATCAGAATTTCATTTTTTTAATGGGTGCCAGTGTGTTCACAGAAAAAAGTTATCTTATCTTATCTCATCTCATCTCATCTCATCTTTTTATCGCGTCTCATCTTATCTCATCTCATCTATCTTATCTCATCTCATCTCATCTCATCTCGTCTCATTTCATCTTCTTATCTCATCTCATCTCGTCTTTTTATCTCATCTCATCTCATCTCATCTCATCTTTTATATGAAAATGGCAAAAGTTATCTAGTCCAGCATGAGAATGCAGGAAGAAGCTTGAGGAAGAGAAGCAACTAGTCTTATGATTCATTTTCCTTTTATTTTACCCCTACAAAACCTGAAACAGATTGGACCAAGAGAGCAACTGAACCCCAAATCACTAAGGAAATTCCAGACGCTGATGAATATGTAGAATGAGCAAAATTATTTTAGTCCAGTATCATTTCCACTTCTATCCCATTTCTCCATTAAGATGTACTAGATATTATTTATTTAGTAGTTGCATATTCAACTTGTCCCCGAGGCATTGCCATTTCCATTTTTTCATTACAACAAATTTGTGAGATGTGTTAGAAAAAGAGACTGGTTGAACCAAATCCATCAGTGTGTCCCCATAGCTGAGGAGGGACTTAAACCTGAATCTCAGCAATCATAATACAGCATCTTAACCCCTACACCACAATGGCTCAACACTTCTGCCATAAATTTGCAAGCTATCATTCAAGAACAAAGACTTTTTGCAATAGTTTTCAATATTGTGAAATTTCATCAATGCTTCGTTATTTAAAACTATTTTAATGTAGGTATTCCATTGATGCCTACCCCAATCCATAGTAATGAAGCACATGGTAACCTTATCAGCAACACTATGTAAGCATTGTTTTAATTGAGGGGTCCTTGGGTGTTTTCTGGAAGACATTTCATTACCCAAACTAGGTAACATCATCAGTGATGTTTGGATAAATGCACTTCATAAACGCATGGCACAACATAGGAGAACAAACCCATTAGGACAAGATTCAGCAGTCCAACTGCATTTAAAAGACAAAGGCCACTCTTTTGCAGACAGCAAAGTCCACATTTTGGGCAGAGAGGACTGCTGTTGAAAGAGGGATCAAAGATACCATCTATGTCAAAATTGAACAGCCCTCTCTCAACAGAGGGGGAGAGGTATGACATCATCTATCTCCAGTCTACAACACAGTTTTTTCAACAATTTCAAGAAGGTTCCACACCCATTTGTACTACTCAGGTAAGCCTCCAGGTGGCCGCAACGACTCTTTAAAAGAATGCAAATGACCAGGTAGAACTGAAGAAGCTTCTTGGATGAGAAGTAAAATGTCTTCAAAGAAAAACAAGAATGTCCAGTTGCCTCATGAAAAAAGCACCTTTGGGACAACCATGACCTGGATGACTGAGAATCTCCATAGACATTTGGATAATGAAATGCCTGCAAGAAAACAACCAGGCTCAGAGAACACCAAGGACCCCTCATTTCAACTCTGAGCTACAAATATTTTCCTCTATTCTAATTTAACTTCCCTGGATCTAACTATGGCTAGTATTTAACAGAGGCTGTTTGACAAGGGGCTGTCTAAGTAATAAATGATTACTGCTTTCTCACTTTAAGCATAAAGGAATGTTCAAGAAAGATCTTAATTGTTGAGATTTTTCCACCAACTCTTCAGTTAAATAATATTTTCTCCTTCTTCCTTACCACTATGTCTTTGAAGTTTAATGGAGCAATTTAAACAAAATGGGCAAAAAAAATGTGGGGGAATTAATAAAACAACAAAAAAATTAATACTTGAGTGGCAAGCAGGTGGCAGCAGCTGCTTGAATTTGTCTGGATTTGGAAGATAATCAAGGTGAGTATTTTAATGGGAGACCTGTAGAGAATACCTGTCCTTTAGGCGAGTTGAAAAACATCTTAGAAAAAGGCAAAAAACCTCTTTATGAATGCCAAGAAAATTGCATGGAAGTGTCCATGATGTTACCAGTTTGACTCAAGGAGTCTTATCTTTTAAAAGTTTCTGCAGATTTTATTCTACATAGACTGAAGAAGGTTCTTTATGCTTATCTTTTCCAAGATGCCAAGATGCATGTTGAAGTTACAACCAGGAATACTCATGTCGGTTGAGATCAAGAACCCAAATCCCTTGAAGGTCTGAAATTACCTTGAGCTGACTACACTTACAAACTGCTGCCCAGCTTATTTTAGGTTCAGTGTCTGAAATGTGCCAAGCATACAAGATGTGGAGGGTGGCCTTATGTACAAATACATTTTCCCCTCTCCCATTTGCAGGCAGGCAGTTCTTTATTTAGAAATGTAAATCTGTTGCACGATTGACTTCAGTGGCACATGCTTCTGACTAAACTTGCATCAGGGCAACCATGTTCATTTAGGCACAAGAAGTTTTGCCTTTATTAAAACCAGTTCTGTTGGACTCAGTTGTTACCTGGAATGAAAAGTTAAAATTGAAATTCCAAAGACTTCAGTGTGGAATTGAACAATCACACTGTTCAAGTTCAATTTGTATTTAGCCATAAAATGGGACTCCATCAAAACACCTGTTGAGAAATAAAGCAGAGGAAGGTAAGCTGGTCAAATTAGACTTGTTGTTACAATTTATCATCTCTCCCACTCTCTCCTATGTTGTGTGTGCATAATTTGTATTTCATAATTATCCAATAATGAACTGGTAAATAATTGGGTATAAAAATAGTAATTGTGTCAAATAGAAATGTTTGGTTGTGAGGATGTAGTTGACTTAAAGGATATGCAAGTAAAAACTATTTTTTTAAGATGGATGATTTTGGCAAAAGAATTTGAAATATTTATTTGAAGGAGGTTAAAATGTAGGTGAGAGTCAGTTTGGTGTAGTGGTTAAGGCATCAGGCTAGAAACTGAGGGACATGAGTTCTAGTCCCACTTTAGGCATAAAGCCAGCTGGGTGATCTTGGGCCAGTCACTTTCTCCGAGCCTTAGGAAGGAGACAATGGCAAACCTTCTAAAAAACCTTGCCAAGAATACTGCATGGACTTCTCCAGGCAGTTTCTGAGAATGGGACATGATTGGGTCAAGAAAAAAAAACCTGTAGGCAGTTAAGCTAGACAGATGATGTTTGAACAATGAAGTCTAAAGATGATCTAGATAAGATTCTTGATGTGTTTGGCAGAAGGCATAGATCATGGAGGTAGTGCATGATGAGAAAATGTGTTTACCATGGCTTCGGCAAGTGAGTCATAGGGGTGAGAAATGTAATGTAAAATGAAAATAATTAAAGATTGCAAATAAAAACCAGGTACATTTATAAACAGAAAATGCCTAGGGTTGGCAAAGCTCTTCAGAACCATGTAACCCAAAGATTGTATATAAAACTCAAACCATGTAGTGTAGTAGTGCAATATAAATTTGCATAAACACAGCTATGTCAATTTGTATATAGAAATGCAACTCTTGAAACAATCAATATAAGTTAAAATTAACTTAAAATTGATATCACAGGACTGTAGCATCTAATAGGATTTTGAAAAGCCTTCAAAAAGGGGTGCTTCAGGATGTGCAGAAAAGTATACAAACCCCCTCTTTTTGATTGTCAAAATAGTCATAACTTTTTTTAAGGTTCATTGGAATTATTTATTTACATCCAATTCACTAGATCAGAATTCAGACTGATCCAAATTCAGAGCACACTGATTTACAGTTAGAATCATCTATTAGAAAGTGGATTTAAGGAGGTGAAGGGCTGAGCATGGAAGCATTCAAGAACAAACCAGAGTGAGACAGCCTAACAGCCAAATACTTGTTGCCAAGCACTGATGGGTTCCCTCCAATTGTTATAATGACATTCTGCAGTGTAGAGGATTTATGAAGCAAGACATTGATTTAGAAGTATTATCATAGTGATTTTGATACCCTGTGTTTTACCCTTAACTGCCTGGAAAAGAGCAGGAATAATTGAACAAAATTCTAATTTTGATTAGAATTGATAGAAGTCTTCAATTCTGTGGACTCTTGAAAAAAGAATTAGGCCTGCTGAATTATTAATATTTGTTTATAAGGAGACCCCAGAGGTCAGAGGTTTGTAGTAGAGGCTATTGCTGTTATTTGGTGAATCACTAAGAACCAATTTCATAACAAAGATACATTAATGGATTTAAAAAGAGCAACTAAGATGATTAAAGGCCTGGAGACTAAAGTATATGAAGAAGGGTTGCAGGATTTGGGTTTGGCTAGTCTAAAAGAAGGACTAGAAAGATATGATAGCAGTATTCCAGTATTGAGAAGTTGCCACAAAGAGGACGGAGTCAACTTATTTTCCAAAGCACCAGAGGGCAGAACAAGAAACAAGGGATGGAAACTAATCAAGGAGAGAAGCAACCTGGAATTAAGGAGAAACCTCCTCACTGTTCTCCTAACAGTGAGAACAATCAACCAGTGGAACAGCTTGCCATCAGAAGTTGTGGGTGCTTCATCACTGGAGGTTTTTAAGAAGATATTACACAATCATTTGTCTGAAGTGGTATAGGGTCTCCTACTTGAGCAGGGGGTCCAAGGTCCCTTCCAGGTCCCTTCAATTCTTCTGATTGAAATGTTACAATTGTAGCAAATGGAACTTTTGCCTCAGTCTAAGTCACAAAAACCTGAAAAACCAAACAGTTTGGTTTGGAAGAAAACCTTATGTTCTTTACATCAGGGATAAACAAATGTTTTGCAGCTGGGTCTCTTTATTTATTTGATAGGTTGTCAACTCCTAAATGAGTCTGGGTGGCTTACAACTAAAAACACTCCAATCTATTGAAAGAAGTACAGCCTACATAAGAAAATGCAAAATTTAAAACAAAAGATTTTGTTTTTTAAAAAAGCAAACCAAATTGGTTCAAAATAAAACAAAGCCAAGCAAAAAATGAAGGAGCTGGGAGAACACACAGGTCTTCAATAAGTTCTTGAATGGCATAAGGGTAGAAGCCACATGAATCTCAGAGGGGAGATTATTCCAGAAGGCAGTAATTACAACACCATAGGCAAGCTTCCTGAGTTCTGCAAGATGATGAAGTTTTTTAATTGATAGGATCCAGACAGACAATTTTTGTTTTGGCCTCAAAGGCTAGAGAAGGAATGATCAATGAAATGGCAGAATAAGCATGATTTTTTTTTCTTGACAAATTTCCTTTCCTTTCCTTATAAACGTCATCTCAGTTTTATTGGTCAACATACAACAAGCTCAAAGTAATTAAATATATGGTGTTCCTATAGTTTAATTTATTTATTTAGGCACATATATTCTTGGAGTAAAGTATAGAGTCTTAACTATATGGGGTCCCAAAAAATTAGGAATAGATTACTGAAATGTTCCCTGATCCTATTTCTTTCCCTTTTGGTGGGGAGTTTGAAAGAGAGGTCTAAGACAGGGGTGTCAAACTGCTGGCCTGCGGGTTGGATGCGTCATGGCGAAACCGTGCCCACCCCATTGCCGGTAATGGAAAAAAAGTCACGATATGTCATGACACGTCATGTGACACTGCAAGTTTGACACCCCTGGTCTAAGGGATGCATTAATCCTTCCAGAGATTTAAGATACCTATGTTTTCTATTATTTAGGGAAAAATGGTAAACTCGGTTACTTTAGAATAGAACAGAATATTTTATTGGTCAAGTGTGATTGGACAGACAAGGAACTTGTCTCCGGCACATAAGCTCTCAGTGTACATACAAAGAACAAAGTAATATAATTGTAAGATACCAATAGGAGAAGGTAGTAGAAAAGATGAGAAGGATAATAGTCATACAGCCCTACTATATGGGTAAATATCTTTAGACATAAGACAGCACTGTGATTTTACTACCAGATTTCAAATTCTGAGTTTGAGGGCCCATTGGAGACTATAAAATAAGCACTGAGACAGCTCTCTGTTTTATATTTGGTAAACCAATAACCTCCTTCCCAATTCAATAAAGTTCTGGAAAAACCATCCCACTGATCAATCATCTGTTTGAGCAAAGCTGCATTGTGGGCTAACTCTTTCATTCCACTTGGTATAACCCAACTCTTTGGCAATTGCAGAGCAAGTCTTTTCAATGGAAGCATTTTATTTCTTCCTGAAGTATTGTCAAAACCTCAAAAGCTGGGGAATAGCAAATACAAGTGTTTCTTATTGACTGTCATCTCAAAACGTGTCTGTTGTGGCTCCTCTATTCAGAATGCCACATTTGCACAGCATGCTGTCTCTTTTTCTTATTGGGTAGGCAACCATTTCAGATATCAATCACCACAACTTGCTAAAGTCAGAAAGCATGGGGTCCAATGGAAACCAGTTGGGTTACAGACTGCTTTCTAACAAAGCAAGGAGGAGAAATTGCCCTGGAGCTTTTCAGATAATGTGAGATGCTAGTGTCCAATATTGTATGAATTCTTTCTTCTTGCTAGGAGATTTATTGGACAGAAAACATTAGCCTTTTCAATGTGTTAACAGGCCTGGGGGGAGTCTCAAGAAAATTGTGAACTTTTGAGGGGGCACCATTGTTCATAATATCTCTCTTAGCCTTTTAAATCAAATGATGTTGAAGAATGGGAAGTTTCAGAATTCTGCAACGTTCAATTCAAGCAAATTTAGACAGAATCAAACAAATTCATAGGATAGCTTTTCCAAAACTGATACCCTCCATATTTCAAAAATAGACTGGATAACCATTTGAGTAGGATGATATAAGGCTCATGGCTCGAGCAGGGAGTTGGTTCCTGGAAGAACCTTTGAGGTTCCTTCCAATTCTATGATTCCATGCTCTATGAGTCAATTTCCTTGGTGGCTGGAAGAATTATAGGAATTGAAATCTAGAACATCTGGAGAAGTCAGTTGAGAAAGCTGGGATTGTGCCAATCTTTCAGTTAATACACCCTCTTGAAATTACTTTGAGAATCTTCCTCACTTCTAAAACTGAAAGAAAACAGCTATACTGCTTCATCACTTTGCCTGCCTTTATCATCATTTGCAAAAATCAGACGGAACACAAGCTCATACACAGAAGTTTCTTGAGTTTTTTTAGAGTGCCAGTTAAGTCAGCAGAAGTGAAGTGAAGAACACTGTCAAGGCAAATTGTGTCACCTCTTCAATGAAGAAAAATGCATTATGTCCATGTATAAAGTTCTTCATCAAAGGAATTTTGCATCCTATTCCATGTATTCCAGATTCATATTCAGATGCAGGATGCCACAAAATGCCATCTGTTGTTGTTCTTAGCAATAACAGTAAGTCATTGTACAGGTCCAATCTTTTGAATTGTTGTCTAGTATATGATTGGCCATTGTCAGAAAGACTTCGGTGGGTTCAGAAAACCTTTGGATGGATATAACAGAAGTCTTCTTGTATTCACAAAAATAAGAGTAAGTTTAAGAATGAAACCGATTCAAACAGCTCATCAGGGTTAAATACACAAGCTGAGATGATTCCATCACCCTTAAATACTGGCCTGCAAACTCATTAGAGCAACCAGAACCACTATCTGCAGTTTGTTTTCCAAAATGACAGAATGTACCTTCTGGCACTTGCATAACAGCTAATTAAAAATAAAGAATATTCTTTAATATTTAATTA